CACCATATAAATAGTGGTGCCATATCTTCAGTGCAAACACCATCGTTGCTAACTCAAGATCATGTGTCAGATAATTCCTCTCATGTGTCTTAAGTTGTCTCGAAGCATATGATATTATCTTTCCATATTGCATCAAAACACATCCCAGACCATTATGGGAAGCATCACTATAGATTGTATAGTCCTTGCCCAATTCTGGTTGTACTAGAAATGGAGCCTCCGTTAAAACCTTTTTTAAAGATTCAAAACTCTCTTGACATTTATCCGTCCAAATGAATGACACATATTTCCTCAACAGTTTTGTTAATGGGGAGGCAATCATCGAAAGGTCCTTTATAAACCTTCGATAATATCCAACCAATCCCAAGAAACTCCGTACTTTATAAACATTTCTTAGAACTCCCCAATCTATAATAGCCTTAATCTTCTGAGGATCCACCTGAATCCCCTCTGCATATATAACATGTCCAAGGTATGCTAATTCAAGTAGCCAAAATTCACACTTAGGCAACTTAGCATAAAGCTTTTTATCTCGAAGTATCTGGAGAATCACTCGAGGATGGGCGTCATGTTCTTCATTCATCTTTGAATAAACCAAAATATCATCAATAAAGATGACAACTAATTGATTAAGGTACAATTAGAATATCCTATTCATAAGATCATAAATGTTTTTGGTACATTGGTTAATCCAAACGGTATTACTACGAACTCATAATGACCATATCGGATCCTAAAAGTCATTTTTGGAATATCCTCTTCTTGAATCTTCAGCTGGTGATAGCCAGAGTGCAAATGAATTTTGGAGAATATCGAAGCTCCTTTGATTTGATCAAATATATCGTCGATTTATAGGAGAGGATACTTATTCTTTATTGTTACCTTTTTAAGATGTCGATGATTAATACATAGACACATCAAACCATCTTTCTTCTTTACAAATAGCACCGGCACACCCCAAGGTGATACACTGGGTCAGATGAATCATTTATCCAATAACTCTTGCAACTGATCCTTTAACTCACTTAGTTTTTTTGGGGTCATTCTATAAGGAGCCATCGAAATTGGTGCCGTTTCAGGAATAACCTTAATTTGAAATTCAACTTCTTTATCTGGAGGTAATCCCAATAATTCATCTGGAAACACATCTGGAAATTCTCGGACTTTCAGAATGTCCTCTAATCTCATCTTTGTGGCTCTAGTTCAATCACATTGGCAATGAAAGCTTGACATCCTTACAACATCGTTGACCACAATTATTTCTGATCCGTCAGAACTTCTCAAAACTACTCGCTTCAATCGACAGTTAACATTAGCACGGAAATGATACAACCGATCAATTCGCAAAATAACCTCAAACTCATCAAAGGGTAATTCCATCAGATTAGTAGGGAGTTCAATTCAGGGAATCCTTATAGGACACCCTCGACAAATTTGGTTCACCCGAGCACTATCCCCTAGAGGGTTATTCTCAATCACATCACTACTTATTGCTTCTAATTAAATTCTCAAATTTCTCACCAGTCTACTATTGAACTCCCGCTTCATACTCATACATAGTTCAATTCATTTGCTTCAAATTCATGAACTCCCACTTCATTTGTCTAATAAACTAATCCCCAATATATTTATTCTTGAACTCTTCCAAAAACAACGACCACATCACTTGATCCCTAGGCGCTCTCATTGTCACATTAGTCCACCATATACGTGCTTGTCCTCATAGCAATGAGACTACTCCATCTAATTTCTCCATTTCAGAACAATGGAGACCATTAAGCATAATATTTACGTCATTTAGCCAAAGATCTGTAGAAACGGTACATTCCTCAACTTCTCCCTTAAACTCAGGTGCTCCTAAACTTTTTAGCTTCTTAGCCACATTCATCTTAGGAGCTGGGGGAGAAAATGGTTGGAAAAGCATCAGAATCGCGTCCAACATCCTGAAAAATATTCATGATCTTGCACAGACAATCCCTGAGGTGCCTGTTCTTCACCTTGCCTGGCAGAGGTAGGTGAATTTCTACATCCCTCATTTATTCCATCTTCCACTTCACTTCGGGAGCCCTCGTAGTCCGACATTTATTAAGATATAATCACTAACTATATTAGCAAGGATAACATACTAATTACCCAATCAGATCAGAGTTTTTTTACATTTCGTTGGCATGCACACTTTTTAGAACATAAATTACTTCATTTCAAACTTAAAATCAATTAAACTATAGCTTTGATACCAATAAATGTAACACCCCCAACCCATACCTGACCTGGATACGAATCTGAGATGTCACATTGACTTTTCAAAACTTTGACTCTTTCTGTTTAAAATTTAAACTTTTTATTTTATTTTAGTGGTGAAACCATCATACAAAAGTTAATATCAAAAATCCTTATTTCACAATGAAAATAAATACTTAATATATTTGCATAAACTTTAAATAATATAGTTACAAAATAGATCAAAGCATTTGTGATTTAAACATTTATGATACATGCCAACAAAATTTCAAAATAACAAGAAACACCTGCAGTTCAAATCGTTCTGATCTGATCGTCTTAAAAGTGTATGATGTCTTTTCCTAGCTTTACTCTTCGGATCTCTTTGAACCTACGTGTAAAAACACACACGCTAAGTCGTTGACTTATTGAGGCATAAATGAGCATAAAAACGATAAAGCATTTATTTAAACATTTTCAAGAAACATTGTATATGGAAACCGATATACATTTCATAAACATACTTTAAGGTTGTGAACTATAATTGCAGTTAAATCTACCGCGTAGAATTTGTACTGAAGTGCCACATAGATTTGTCCAGATGGACCGCGTAGAATTGTCCCGAATGACCACATAGAATTGTTCCGAATGACTATGTAGAACCCTCGACTCTTGGTATGTCAACTATACCTCTAATTATCATAACTTATACTTTGGGCTTTAACCATATAATTATTTCGCATTACATTATTCAAAATATCTTTTATTCACATAGAACACATTCATAAAGAACATTTTCACGAAGAACATATTCCCGTATAACATATTCACATACTAATAAAATCAAAATAGTACTTCAGAAATATAATTTATATAAAACATTATAAAGATATTGCATAAAATAAATAAAAAAAATTTCGATCGAAAACCTTCGAGGTTGGCTTATCGCAAGTTGTCCTCATGTTTAATATAAAATAAATAAGTTTCACTCACATTTGCCTCACTTAAGTCCTAAATGAAATCCTTTTAACTTTTGTTCAATCTCTTTACTACGTCGATTCGTTCGATACACTTTTGATCCAAATCTACACATCAACTTGTCCAAGATAAATATCGAATCTCAATTTACAGCTAACCAAATGACATTTACATTAACGAAATGAAAACCTAATTTAAAATTTCAGACTGAATAATATCGGTACTCTACACACAGTACCGATACCTACTTCAGTATCGATATCGTTATGACATTCTGGAATTTCATCTTCAATTACAATATTGATACCTTACTCTTGGTATCGATACCTCCACATTAGTATCGATACTACATTCAGTATCAATATTGTTCATCTGATTCATACAATTTCCTTCAATTTAACCTTATAGTATCGATACTATTCTTCCAGTACTGATACCCTTACCCAGAATTCACTTGTTTTAATTCAAATTTTACCCAGAATTTACTTAAATCTTTTACTAATAACTCCATTCATAACTTCAAACTCATTAACACATATCCTAACCAACTTACATCAATTAAATTCCCTTTGACATCTAAAATTCTCCATAGAATACTTAAAACTAAAATCATACCCATTCTTCAAACATGTTTCCAAATCCTTTCTAATACTTCAAATACCTTATTCAAACCTTTGGCAAGTAATTATACCTTTAACATTCAAAAACTACTCAATTGTTATCAACTCCTTAAAAACTCATTTTACCAAATTCACCATTAATTCATCAATCTCATAGTTTCTAATCATTCTTAAGCTTTTCTTAAGCTTCTATGCCAACCAAAGATTCAAAACCAATCCAAAAATTCAAGAAACAACTAACTTTAAAAATAACTTACCTTGGCAATGGAGTCACGATATAAAGGAATGAAAAGATGAAGATAACACTCTAGATTTTTATTTTCTTTTTTCCCTAATTCCTCACATGCTTAAATACCTTAAAAAAGAATTTTAAATTCATTTCCTGTTGAAAGACTATTATGCCCTTCCACTCTTCAATCTTTGATAAAATGTCCTAGATAAAAGTTTCCAAACACTACTAGAAAAACCCCCTTTAATGACGCTCATAGCGCGTCATCTATGGGTGAAGATGACACACAAATGCGCGTCATTGAAGCCACCGACATAAATCTCAGATGACATGCAATTGTGTGTCATAAATCTATGACGCGCATTTATGACACATATATATGACGCTCATGTATGACTTACAATGCATGTCATTGAAGCACGCGTCGTTAAAAAAGATGACACACATTCGTGTGACGTGATTGTATTTCGTAAATTATATATATATTGTAGATTGACAAATAATCAAACTAAATCACATTTAATGCCTCATAATACTAAATATATATATCATATTATATATAATCAATCCATTTGCATACAATATATTCACATTAAGTTATCAAAAATATTGTAATCATATATCGATACAAAAATATTGTAATCAAGTTCTACTAATGGGGAGTCTTGTGAAAAATCAAAAGTAGCATGGTATTCCAACATATCATCAGTTTCACCATTTTCTTCATACTTGTACATCTTATGTGGTGTGAAGCTGACAACAGAAAAATTCACACCTTGTCTACCTAGTAAAAAGAACACAACTTGGAAGATTCATTGCATACTATTAAGTCTGTTAACTAGTTAAGATTCTGCAGAACTTTGATAAGTTAGAGAACTACTAAGTTCAATATAATTCTCCCAAGTTTCAATTCATACCTTCTGCATATCTGATCCAATAGAGTGCGGCAATGATCAAACAGTAGCCAGATACCATATCCAAGCTTCCAGTGCTTCTACAACTTGTATTTCAGAAGATGCAAAGAAGGCTGAAATGGTATAATTACGTCAGAAGGAACAATATTAGATTTCCCCTCTTTACATCAGATTAAAGGTAAATAACCATTTAAGTATTTTGCCCAATTTAATTTTACATTGGGTCAGATTAAATGTTTATACTATTACGTCAGATTAATGTGTGCCCTAAAACAAGCCGTTTCACTGTAAAACCCAATGTATACCATATGAGAATTCAAGGGATAAGCCTATTGCACTTTATTAACTCATTCAAATACCAAGTTATATTGATGAACTAGTTTCATTTATAAATTTTGTATATGAATACAAGGTTTAAGATAAACTGGCGAAACCATATAATTTTGAACGAAAAAACGGATTTCAACTTTTGTACTCACATTTTGCATAGATCTCAATTTCTTTTTTGAAGTCTTTCAAGTCAGCTAGCCTGCACAAAGGAAACACAAGAACCAAATAAGATCTTATTGATTTTTTATTATCAAACCTTCTCAACATATAACAAACAAAAAATGGAAGCGAAAATCGTACATAATTGTTTTCTTAACCACCAAGGAATAGTCAGCACCACCATCTTTCAATATTTCACCAATATTTTTTAGTACCTATATAATCTAAAAGAAAATTCAGTCACTAGGATGCATTCAGTTATAAAATTATGAAAAATTAGTTCACATAAAAGTAAGATACATGCTCGGTTTGATCTTCTACAGTGTCTGAGATGAACTTTCCAGTCTAGAATAGAAAACAAATGATAAGCACAATGCATATATAACCGAAACCTAGGATCTATCTCACCTGAACTCTTCATTTTCCCTAAAATATACATATTCGGCACATTTACTACGAGTCCAAGTAAAATAGGCTAGGAATACAAGCTTAACATATGAAGAACATTTAATGAACATGCCACAAACCTCTGGAATAAGACCGAGAACACCAGAGACAAATAGAAGATTATTGGCCTTGATGGCCTGAGAATACGGTCCCAATACTGTAGGAGCTTTTTCAGCCACCACAGCCTCGTGAATCCTTACAATAAAAAATATAATCACAATCCTTAGGATCATCTAATAAACTCATAATGCCCGACTGTTTAATTTTTCCTAACACAAACATTCTCATATCCACACTCACATTTGGTCCAACGAAACAACCCTTTAAGAAGGACACGCCCATTTGTATATATTCAAATCATAGCATTAGCAAACCCTTAGCAATCCTCATAGGCTATTGTTCAAAGGCTTCCAAACACAATAAAATAAAATTTCAACGAAATCAAATATAAATCCCCAAATTTCTCTTACAAAAACGACTAACTGACACACTATCAATTAACCACTATAAACCCAAGGCCAGATGTTTCACAAGTCACAACCCTGTTATTTTCCCTTCACGTTCACTTGATTGAAACCAACACTTTTTACGACTCGATTAAAACTAAAATGCAAAACCAAACGAATTAACCCATTTTCAAAAGCAGTCCATCAAATCAAAATCAAACAGTAAAAAGAAACCCATTATTTTACTGATGTCTTTTTTGTTACTAGGAGAAGTGAAAATGATTAAGCAAGCAAAAGGAGAGTCGTTTCTTGAGGAGGCTCGCCATAACTGGAGAAATAAATATGAAACACTTCAGAATTTGAATATCCTTTATCTAACGGAATAACTTGCTAAAAGTTAAGAAACCATCAAGTGTTAAAATATATTATTGAAAACATTTTGATATTTCGATATAACAAATTAAATTAAATGAATTTTAAGATTTTCCAAAAGATTTTCCGAGTATATTCGATATAATTATTCGAATATCAAAATATTTCTCCAAATCTTTCAAATGTCATTTTTAATCCTTACTCAAGTGTAAAATTAAGTTTTAATCTTAAAATAATTTCAAAACAATTTTACAAAGTATTTCGAACCATTTCAAAGCCAAAAATTCCAGATTGCTCAGAGGAACCGATTCTCCCCCAAGAGGGTACCGATTCCCCCTGAATGGTTTGGCTCTGAGAAAAATAGAATGCTCGGAGGGAATCGATTCCCCCTATTTAACGGTCAAAATATTTGAATTTTACACTTAGGGAACCGATTTCCCATGATGGGGCACCGATTCCCCCCACGCTCCAAGCTGTTTTATTAATTGATTTTACACTAAAACGGCTCCATTGACTCCACTAATCATCCCCAACATTTAGAATCAATTGAAGGATTATTTAAACATGCTTAGAAGCCATTGATCAACAACAATAAAATACAAGAAACAAGAATCAAGAGAGAATAAAGAGAAAGCATCAAACCTCAAGTTTGAGCATTTCAAGCCTATTTTTCATTCAATATTCATTTTGCTTTCAAGAACACTACTTGTACTCAATTGTTTTCATTTTTGAGTGTTCTTTTCTTTGTTCTAGAATTGTGCAAACAATCTACATTGTGAGGATTTCATTGTAAGTTTGCAAATTTGTAATCTTCTCTTTGAGAAAGAGTGTTCTCAAGAATTGGGTATATTCTTGAGGGAGTTGTAAGGTTATCTCTTTGGCCTCTAAAGAAAGAAAAAATTAGTGAATTTGTTGGAAAATCATTAGTGTGGATAGCTAAGGTAGTGGACGTAGACTTTGGTTTAGAAAGTCGAACCACTCTAAATCACTGTGCAAATCTTTTCAATTTTCTGCAAAAGCTTCCATCAAAATTTTTATTGCCAATTTACCCCCCTCTTGGCCAATTCCATCGATCGATTAACTCAATAATTGGTACTAGAGACTCACTCATTTGAAGGTTTAATTGTCTCTTGATTCGATTTGGAAGAGTTACATCGATTTTCAAAGTCATCAATGGTCGACACTTCAAACTCCGACTTTGGTCTCGATTCATTTCCGTTAACAAGCCTCCTTTCTTTAATGGAGCTAATTATGCTTATTGGAAGAATAGGATGATGTATTTCATTCAAGCAAGTGACATGGCAACATGAAATATCATAGAAGATGGATACATCAAACCCTCCACTCACCCGAGGTTATGGAGTGAATGAGAGACAAGAATGTTCCAGCTCAACTCCAAAGCTATCCATATTATCTTTTGTGCTCTTGGACTGGATGAATACGAGAGAGTTTCATCTTGCACAACTGGCAAGGAGATATGGGACAAATTATAAGTCACTCATGAAGGCACAAACGAGGTAAAAGAATCTAAAATTAGTCTTCTAACTCATAGCTATGAAAATTTTAGGATAAAATGGATGAAGATGTCAAAGCTATGACGGATAGATTCTCCACGATTTTCAATAGCCTCAAATCATATGGAGAAAACATTCCAAATGACAAGCTTATAAGGAAGTTAGTTTATTCTCTTCCAAAAGCTTGGCAATCAAAGAAGACGGCGATCATCGAGGCTAAGAATTTGAAATCCTTAACCCTCGATGAACTTATTGGCTCTCTCCTGACGCATGAAATGATGCTTAAAGAAGAGGAAGATCTTGAAAGAAAAGACGAGTCAAAGAAGGAGACAGAGAAAAAGAAGAACGCGGGAGTTTCTCTCAAATCAATAAAAGATGATGAAGATTCCGATGAAGATGACGATGACAAGGAAATTGTTTGTCAAACGGTTCAGAAAAATGATGAGGCCTAACTGAGGAAGAAAATTCAAACGAAATGAAGGCTTCAAAAATGAACCAAAAGAGAATGACTCGATCATTTGCTATGAATGCAAAAAACTGGGGCATGTCAAATATGATTGCCCACAATTGAAGAAGAATGGTCAATCAAAGATTAAGCACAAGGCTCACGTGGCTACATGGAGTGATGAAGAAGGTTCCGATGAAGAGGAACAAGAAGTAGCAAACTTGTGCTTGATGGAATTCGAGGAAGATTCTAAGGTAACCTCTAACTCATTTGATTTAGATGATTTATCTTATGATGAGTTATTAGATGAATATAATAGGTTGGCTTCGGATTATGAGAAGTTGTTTTTAAAATATGAAAATGATATTTCAAAATTGAAAAATGAAAAGAATCTCATATCCAAGACCAACAATGATCTTGAAAGTAAAATCAGTGATTTGCAAATCAAACTAGAAGAGTTTGAAAAGAAAATTTTGGATTTGCAAAATTTACTTTCAAAGGTCAATGATGATCATCAAAAGAAAATTGATGATATTAAAACTTCTTTTGATAGAGTTGGTACAAAACGTTTTGAAAAATGAGAAAATTCAAAAACCAACTTTGTTAGAAAAAGTTTTAAAAACTACAATCATAGAGGTCCCCGAAGAACCCCTAATGGAAAAATCGTTAGAAGTATATGGGTTCCTAAAGAACTCATTACTACTAAAGATAAGGATATCCTACACAAATAGATACCTAAGGGGACTAGGATTTTGGAAACTAATGAATATGGACCCAAAAAAATTTGGGTACCAAAAATCAAAAATTAATCTATGTTTGTAGGAAAAGGAGCATTGCTACAAGGCACGAGAAACAAATTCAAACTCATGGTACCTTGATAGTGGATGCTTAAGATACATGACCAGAGACAAAAGTCGGTTCATAGAGCTTAACGTCAAAAATGGAGGAGAAGTGACTTTTGGTGATAATTCAAAATGTCACATTGAAGGTGTAGGTACAATAGGTAATACATCTTCCATACAAATTAAAAACGTTTTATATGTGAATGGATTAAAGCATAATCTCTTGAGTATTAGTCAATTATGTGATAAGGGATTCAATGTCATGTTTGAAACTAATGGTTGTAAAGTCATTGACATTGTATCTAATCGGATTATGCTTATTGGTCATAGAATAGGAAACATTTACATGTTGCATTTAGACTCTATAGAAATGACTAATTTATACCTAGTTCTAAGGATGAGCATGATAGTTGGTTATGGCATAGGAGACTAGGACATGCTAGTATGAGTGTTTTGCAACGGTTAATTCAAGAAGATTTGGTTCGAGGGCTACCTAAACTAAAATTTGAAATGATAAAATCTGTGATGCTTATGCAAGGGAAACAAAAGCGAATTTCTTTTAAATCCATTAATGACGTATCCACTAGTAGAGTATTACAATTGATTCATTTAGATCTTTTTGGGCCATCTAGAACTACTAGCTTGGGTAAAAAAATAATATGCATTTATTTTGGTAGATGACTATTCTAGATATACTTGGGTTCTATTCTTAAATACTAAAGATGAAGCATTAGAAAAATTCATCACGTTTTCAAAAGTAGTCCAAAATGAAAAAGGTTACTCTATAACTAGTGTTAGGAGTGATCATGGAAATGAATTTGAAAATCTTGGATTTACTGAATTTTGTAATTCTAATTGTATTAGCCATAATTTTTCAGCACCTAGAACCCCTCAACAAAATGGAGTTGTTGAGAGGCAAAATTGAACTTTAGAAGAAATGGCTAGAACCATGCTTTGTGAAAACAATTTGCCAAAATATTTTTAGGTGGAAGCCACAAATACCGCTTGTTATGTTATTAATCGAGTAATGATTAGGCCTATTTTGAAGAAAACTCCATATGAGCTTTTCAAAAATAAAAAGCCTAACATTAGCTATTTTTATCCTTTTGGATGTAAATGTTTTGTTTTAAACAACGGTAAAGACAATCTTGGCAAATTTGATGCTAAAAGTGATGAAGGAGTTTTTCTGGGTTATTCCTTAAATTCTAAAGCTTATCGAGTATTTAATAAAAGAACTTTAGTTGTAGAAAAATCTATACATGTTGTTTTCTATGATAATCTCCTTCCGAGGAAGGATTCATGTGTGAATGATGATGTAGGGATTATAAATATAATGATGATGGACATGATGTTGGAGAACAATCATCAAAGGAAGAAACAAAACATGAGGAAACTCATGATCCTCTCGAGAATCCAAGCATTGAAGAAAGGGAAGTATCTTATCCAAGAGAGTACAACTATGTCAAGGATGGTGAAATTATAGGTGATCCATCCAAAGGGGTAACAACTCGATCTTCTCTTATAAATATTTGTAATTATGCTGCATTTATCTCATGCATAGAGCCTAAGAATATTAAAGAAGCATTAAATAATGAACATTGGATTATGGCTATGCAAGAAGAGTTAAATCAAGTTGAGAGAAGTAAAGTATAGACATTAGTTGAAAGGCCTAGTAGTAAATCTACTGTAGGTACTAGATTGATATTTAGGAATAAGCTTGATGAAAATGGTAATATAGTGAGAAACAAGGCTAGACTTGTTGCTCAAGGTTATACTCAAGAAGAATGCATAGACTATGATGAAACATACGCTCCCGTAGCTAGGATGGAAGCAATTAGAATGTTATTAGCATTTGCATGTTTTCATGAATTTAAATTATATAAAATGGATGTTAAAAGTGCATTTTTAAATGGTTTTATAAAAGAAGAAGTGTATGTGGAACAACCTCCTGGTTTTGAATATTTAAAATTTCCAAATCATGTTCTTAAATTGACAAAAACACTTTATGGTTTAAAACAAGCCCTAGAGCTTGATATGAAAGATTGTCAAATTTTTTAATTGAAAAAGGTTTTTCCAAAGGGAAGATTGACACTACATTGTTTTACAACATAAAGGTAAATATTTATTAGTAGTTCAAATTTATGTTGATGATATAATATTTGGTTCTACTAATGATGTTCTTAGTGAATTCGAGATAAGCATGATGGGGAAGCTCTCATTTTTCTTGGGACTCCAAATCAAGCAAAGAAAAGATGGCATCTTCATCAATCAAGCTAACTACGTCAAAGATATGCTCAAGAAGTTTGGACTGGAAAATGGGAAACCTCAAGACACTCCAATGAGCTCATCAACAAAGCTTGACATAGATGAAGGAGGTAAATGTGTGGATGTTAAATTATATAGGTCAATGATTGGCTCTTTGCTTTATCTAACTGCAAATAGACTGGACATTATGTTTAGTGTTTGCTTATGTGCTAGATTTCAATCATGCCCTAAGGAATCACATTTACTAGATGCTACGAGAATCTTTAGATACCTTAAGGACACTCCTAGATTAAGACTTTGATATCCTAGAGACTCTAGTTTTAGCTTGCATGCCTTTTTTGATGTGGATTATGGAGGATGCAAATTAGATAGGAAAAGCACCTCCGGTACTTGCCAGTTCCTTGGAAATATACTGATTTCTTGGTTTTCAAAGAAACAAAATCGTGTTGCATTATCTACCACTGAAGCAAAATACATTTCAGTTGGTAGTTGTTGTGCACAAGTTTTATGGATGAAACAACAACTTTTGGATTATGGAATTGACGTATGTATCATTCCTATCAAGTGTGACAATACTAGTGCTATTTGTCTCACTAAAAATCCCATCCAACACTCTAGAACTAAGCATATTGAAATAAGACATCACTTCATTAGAGACCATGTCGCTAAAGAAGATGTAGTTCTAGAATTTGTTGATACTTTGCATCAATTAGCGGATATCTTTACAAAGCCTTTAGACAAGGAACGCTTTTGGACAGTTAGGAGAGAATTAGGTTTAACTGACCTATCTTCACTAAGTGTTTAAAATAATTTTAGCACTTTTAAGAATAAATGAAAAATGCTTGTAATATTTTTTTATTGTATTCTTTGCTTTTAGTTAGGGAGAGTTTATGATTCTTGGTGAAAATTAACTTTATGTTCAAATGTAGTTTAAGGTTTAATTTGATTGATTGAACATGATTAATTTTCAATATATGAGTTGCCAATACCACTAGAGAAAATTAATTTAGCATTTTGAGTGCTTAAATTCAGATTTTAGCATTTTTGGTGCAGAGGGAATCGATACCTCCCTTGAAGGGGATCCGATTCCCCCTTTGAAGGGGAACCGATTCCCCCCCCCCCCACAGAGGAATCGATACCCCCTGGGGGTACTGGTTATATCGCGCAGAACACCCTATTTTTGCCTCAAACTCTCTTCTCTTCTTCTTCACGCCGTTCTCCTCTCTACTCTCACCCTATCTTCATATTTCATCAAAAACACCATTTTTAATAGGAATTACTTCAAATATCAACTCCTAAACCTGTTGAAATCATCAAATTTGTGCAAACTTCATCCAATCTCACTCAAATCCGAAATTCTTCAAGGTATTTTTTTTAAACTTCTATTTTATCATCTTTGAACATATGACTAGTTTTAATTAGTTCTAGGTTGAACTTTAGATCGGGCATTGATTGTTTAGAGTTTAGAAACTAGATTTTACAACTAATTTCATCACAAACACAAGAATTTTTTAAAATTTTGAAAATTTTTGAAATTAAAAAAATTTTTGTTTTGATTTAATTATGTTGTTATTATGAAAACTATATGTATATTGATTTTCAAAACCTTATTTTTCAATAGTTTTCAAAAACTTTGCCCATTAGGATTGGTTTAGAGAACCTTGTGATATTGAGGACTCAATTGAGTTTTGGGATTGATTATATTGCATACATGTGCTTTAAAATTGCAGGTTATTCTTTCTATTTCGATTACCTTAAATCATGTCTCACAAACATTCTAGACCTTCTTCTAGTCGTTCTAGCCAACCTCCAAACTTACATCCAAATACTCCACCTATCCAACAAATTCCTATTCCTAATCATGATGATCCAAACATGACTATTCGCAATTCTTGCTTTAATGAACCCGGTCGTAGATAAAATCTCCATTTTAGGTTTTGTCAATACTTTGAGTCCTAAAAAATCTAGGAAGAACGCATCCCATCTCTTCAAGCCATGTTAGACATCAATTTTTGACATCTTCCTACTCTTCCAGAGTGGAAATTTGACAAACTTTTTGAGCTTGAACCAATAGTCTACCATCAACTCGTTCGTATCTTCTACTCTAATGCCGTTTGCATTCAAAACCGGGAGAAAACCTTTACCATAGGAATTCAATCCTATCTTCTAGGACGATTTTCATCTTGACCCGGAATACATAGCCAAATCATTAGGATTAGATAATGACGGGTTAGACAATGAAAAACTGACGGTAGGATCTCAGTATATACGTAGGGATAGTGCGAATGTGTTAGATCTTCACGACCGTTTTCTTCATCTCATGATCTCTTGGTGGTTTTGACCATCCGGAGGTCGTTACTCTACTCTTCGAGCCATGGATTTATTTTGGCTACATTGTGTCCAAAATAATCTTAAAATCAACCTTCCACAGATTATCTTTGTTCAACTTGTCGAAACCGTAAATCTTGTTCCTAATAAGAAATTATGTTCATCTTTAGTTTACGGTTGTATTCTTAGTAATATGTTTAAAACGGTTGGGCTTAGGTTACGTCTTGATGCTTCCTTCCCTCTCAAAAACCAAATCAACCTCTTCTCTTTAACTAAATCAGGATGGAAGTTCAATGAAGAGACTGGTATTTGGGTTCGTACTAATGAACAACCTCCAGAAGCCGACGACTCCGACGATGAGCAAGAACAGCACAAGGAACAAGCACAACCAGAGGAACAAGTACAATAAGAAGATCGAATGCCTCCATACTTCCGATAATTTATGGAGAACATTGATTTGAGGATTGCATCCATCGATTTAAATCTGACTACTACCACCGAAACGATGAATCGTCATTTTGACAGTTTGGATGAAAGGGTCGATGCACTTTCACATGATGTGACCAACATTTGGTCACATTTATCTACTCCTGATGCGCCGATGGACGATTAGACCTTGTTTCTTGCTTAGCTTTATTGGATCAAAACTTCAAACTTATTGTTTTTCAACATTTTGAATGACTTTGGATTATTTTTACTTTAATTGTTGGATGTTTGAATTTGGTTGATGGATTATGGATGTTTGAACTTATATTTCTATATATTTGGTTTGGTTAAATTTATTCATTATTGTATCATTTACATTATGTTAGATATATGACCAATTTTGCCATGTCACATTGTTTATGAATATTGATTATGAAACTAATGGCTAACCTTTCTCTTGATTATGATCTTAGCAGCTTAAGCTATATTGATAATCAATTGGGTAAATGATTTCAAAAACTTGTTTAAGATCTTTTACAAGTCTTTTTGATTTAACTAAAAGGGGGAGAAATGTTAAAGTGTTTTTGAAGGGGAGAAGTGTTAGAGTAAGGGGGAGTAATTTCAAAAGTGTTAGACTAAGGAGGAGTAATTTCAAAACTTGATTTCAAAATCTTAAAATTACTAAAATGTTTTGTTATATAAAAAAGGGGGAGATTGTTGAAAACATTTTGATATTTCGATATAACAAATTAAGTTAAATGAATTTTAAGATTTTCCAAAAGATTTTTCGAGTATATTCGATATAATTATTCGAATATCAAATATTACTCCAAATCTTTCAAATGTAATTTTTAATCCTTACTCAAGTGTAAAATTAAGTTTTAATCTTAAAATAATTTCAAAACAATTTTACAAAGTATTTCAAACCATTTCAAAGCCAAAAATTCCAGATTGCTCAGAGGGAACCGATTCCCCCCAAGAGGGTACCGATTCCCCCGTGAATGGTTTGACTTCAAGAAAAACAGAATGCTCGGAGGGAACCGATTCCTCCCCCCCCCCCAGGGGGTACCGATTCCCCCCTGTTTAACGGTCGAAATATTTGAATTTTACACTTAGGGAACCGATTCCCCTCATGGTCCAAGCTGTTTTATTAATTGATTTCACACTAAATGGCTCCATTGACTCCACTAATCATCCCCAATGTTCAGAATCAATTGAAGGAGTATTTAAACAAGCTTAGAATCCATTGATCAACAACAATAAAATACAAGAAACAAGAATCAAGAGAGAATCAAAGAGAAAGCATCAAATCTCAAGTTTGAGCATTTCAAGCCTATTTTTCATTCAATATTCATTTTTCTTTCAAGAACACTACTTGTACTCAATTATATTCATTTTTAAGTGTTCTTTTCTTTTTTCTAGAATTGTGCAAACAATATACATTGTGAGGATTTCCTTGTAAGTTTGCAAATTTGTAATCTTCTCTTTGAGAAAGAGTGTTCTCAAGAATTGAGGTATATTCTCTGCCAGAGGACGTGCCTCCATGTTTGTTGTTTAAATTCAGTGTGATGGAAGTTTCAGGGATTAAGATGATAAAAATTGTATTGAGAAGGCAAAGTATATCCTAAAGAACGGTGGAGCTCTAGAGAAGTTGACAATACGAACATCACCAGACATTTGTGAAGCAGAAAGATTGAAGATATCACAAGTGTTGTTGGGCTCTCCCACTCCACTATTGCTGCATGTATCTATGCAGAAAATACTGCCATGTATCCACGACCACCATTGCTGTAAGAAACTGTCTAACTATAACAAAGGTAGATGACTGCTGCGCAGAAGCCCCATCATTGCACCTGCAACCTTACTTTTTATTCTTGTGTGCGGAGATATATGTGTACTTACCTACTTATTTTACATTTATTGTTCATTTTATCGATGTGCCTACTAAAAAATATGATGTTATTTTTTCAGGAGACTGCATTAATCCTTGGAACGATTTGTTGTTTCCCAACAACCCATGTTGGGGCTGATATTCTTGGTTGAAAATCTGATTCGATTGTTACATGACGAAACCGGGTCAGTAACCATCGATTGTTGTTGTTGAGGTCTAAACGAGAACTATGAAGAAACCATCGACGAATGATGTTGCAGGTCAGACATTATAATGAAATATCTGATTTTGCAGATATGATATCATCAGTTATTTTTCTTGAGTTTTCGAGATCCAAGTCACAAAATATCCTTTAAACCGTGTATCCGCTGACCTAATACCAATTTCTTATATATATATATATATTTATTTTTATTGAATTTTTATTTCTAATTCTTAAATTATTTAACCATGAAATTCTAAATTCCTAATTTCTCAAATTATTAAACCATGACATTCTAATTATTAATTTCTTAAATTATTTCATCCTAACAATTTAAAATTATTTCTTTTAGTCTCAAAATATTTTAAATTTGTATTTCTTTACTATTATTTGTAATAAATTTATCTTTTAATTATATAATTGAACATTTTAAATTTTATAAATGGATTATGTACTATAGACCTTCAAATTTTAAATTTTAGACCTTTTACGTAAATATTTTTTTTTAAAAAAGGTAATATAATTTAAAGAAAAATATGAAATGAATACTCGTGACTCAAAATGTGAGTACTTGGTTTTTATGTGTGCCCGTTCTTAACAGGTCGAGACATGGGTCGATATTTTGATACCCAAAAATTTTAGATATCCAGTATTTCAAATATCCAAAAATACTGATACTCAATTTTAAACACCCTTAATCCTAGGTGTTATTCCCCCCAAGATCATTTCTCCGTCAATTTGTTTTCTCTTCAGGTTATTAAACTAAAACTAAAATAATAATTAGATGATGAAACATGTCATTATCCGATTGAAGAATTATTGTGTCACTATTTGACTGGAGAACTAAATTATTGATTTAAATTAAAATTATGACTAAATTAATTGTAGTGTAAATAAAGAGGACCAGATCTATAAAATATAATTTGTTAACTACCATGTTAGCTTAATTGTTGTCGGCAAGTGGTTTGATTGGAAAACTTTAATAGTTTGTGGTATGGTTTACAAAATAAAAATGTTGGTGGTCAAAATAAAAGAGACAATAACTAAGTTATCGTATGTAGTTTTCCCATAAAAGAATGATCAATTCGACACAGCTACCTTAAGGGTGTAATACCCCAAACATCGGGTCAGTGACTAAAGAGTAAGGATTTAAAATTTAGTGGTTTAATTTTGATAAATTGAAATGTTCAAGGATTTATTTCATTACAAGAAAATATAACTTTAATGACACACGAACAATGACACACTAATTTATGACTTGCAAAATATGTGTGTCATAAAAAAAATGTCATGTTTCTTAAAATCTGAATGATTTAGACTTACAATAATGTGTGTCATATTTAATAGTCATAATCCAAAAAAATTACAAAAACACGGAGTACACTTTTTAATTGTGTGTCATCTCTAAAAGTCGTCTTTTAATTTCCCACTAATTTTCATTTTCCCGCTTCTTCCCCCCTCGATAATTTTCATTTTCCCGCTTCCCTCGATAATTAGTTCACGCCTAATGTTTCCACTCCTTTCATTATCTCCTTTTCTCTCCTGCTTTTCATCCGATTCATCCTAGCTCTGCCACCCATTTTCGCCTCCGATGAACTCAACGATCCATCTTCCACCGCTCCACCGCTCCCTCCGCCTCGTCTTCACAATGATCCCACACTCTTGTTCGCTAATGCCGGTACGATTTATTTTCTTTGGTTTTCTATTTAGTTTGCATTTACAACTTTAAACAGACGAATCGACCCTCTTCTTCTTCTTCTTGTTTGTTTTGTAAATTTCCTCTTTGTTTTGGTTATATATTGTTATCCGAATATTTGTTTTGTTGATCTGCGTACAAATTAAGAAGTATCATTTCGCAACTTTTAACTCTCATCTCTGTGATACCGGACTTCTTTTTGATGGTACTATCAAAATTCACTAAACTTGGTTAAAATATCTTGATTCAATTTTCTTTAATGGTGACTGGATAGGTATGAACCAGTACAAGCTTATTTTCTTGGGGACCGTGGATCTGAACATTGCTATGAGGAAGCTCACCAGGGCGTGCAACACTAAAAAATGTATTCGAGCGGGCGGAAAGCA